TTTACTTCCGTTTCGGACTCCTCACTACGCTTGGAATACCTGTGTTCCCTAGAGGCTTCCTGACGTTTTTGTATCGCTTGCTTCACTTCTTTGTGCCACCAGCTTTTTGGTCTATGTCCTTGCTTCCCCTTTCGTTTACTCTTAACTTTGTCTAGTTCTAGAGCAAAAAGCCTAGTTAGGCTCTCCACGCCTGTTACCCGCAGCGCCCCCTGGCGTCCTTGCGCGCCGTCATCGCTGCGCCGACCTCCTCCCTCCGTTGCTTCTCGGCGTGGACGACACACTGCCCAGTTCTAGTACACCATAATATGGCCGCCTCCGCTTCGCGCTGCGTTACCTTTCCCTCCTTCCCCCCTCCCCCCCTGGATAGAGGCATCCTAACACGCTTCATAACTTATGAAATACCTCAAAAACAATTATTTATTTCCAGTGAACTTCCAACGATATGGATTGTGTTCGTAGGTGAATAAAAATGTGAAAAAAAACTAGCAGACGACAGTGTAGTGTAGTCACTGAGTCAACGTTACTAAAACACTCAATTGGGAAACTGCCATAGAGACTGCTCTGAAAAAGTGGCTCCGATCTGTCCACGAGAACCGAGCTAATGGCGAACACAACGCCGCCATTTCTCCCGCAGCGGCCACTCGAGGAAGTGCACATGACCTCCATTTGGCTTTAAACGGCCATTTTGGCGCCGAAACAGATACAGCGGAAGAGGTTACAGGGGTGCCACCCCCGTCTCCCCAGCGGACGCGCCGCGACTTACAACCGAAGTTAAAATGCGCCTAGGTCGAGACGTGCTACCTGAAAGCACCGCTGAGGCATGGTTGTATAAAAATAATATTAATTGTGCCACAAAACCCTGCAAACTAAAGATTTTAAAAACATCACGCGCCCATCATTTTGTACTAAACTCCATTAAATTTCATACAAAAAGAGTATTTTCCGTTTGTTTTTACGCAAAAACATGCTTTCTAAAAGCTCAAGGTGACCACAGTACAGACAAATGATAAAGAGTGGCGCTGTTGTCGTATTTAGCTCGGTCTCGGTGGACGCCAGCGGCCCAGGTTTCGACGGCGAGTTTTCCAACTGAGTGTTTCAGTAACGTTGCTGAGGGTGTAGTCGACAGCTGCGAATCGGCCGGAGCTGGCCGGAGCCAAGCTGGCCAAGCGGCCAAGCCGAAGCCATAGCCGGAGCGACGGTGGGTCAGGGTTAGGGGTGTCGCGAACCGGCTGAGGTTCGAGTTCGACCCGGTTCGACTTTTTCGAACTTTTAGTGGAAATTTCGACGAACCTTGTATTGAGGTTCGACTCGTGTGCGCAAGCGCGACAGACTGGCCAGTTGGCTTCGGATTGGATGGTGATGGCTAAGGAATGAATTAAAGGCAGCGCTCATTGGGTATTTCAGTTAATACAGTACAAACGATTAACTTATTAGCTTCTTCAGAGATTAGATTTAGTTTCTCTTAATTGCTGCTGTTCACAAAATTAAAATAACCCTTTGCATAAAAAAAAAAAAATTCTCCAAACCTAGACATGCTTGTATCAAGGTCTGGCCACACTGTCTACAAAGTCGAACCGGTCGAATGTGGTGAAAAGGTGAAAAGGTCGAAGGTTCGTCGAACCGGTTCGACCCAGTCGAACCCCGAAAGTTCGACCTAAAATTCCGGTTCGACAAAAGTTCGCGCGTCTGTTTTCCACGTGCCGCCGCGCCGCTATTCGCCGAGATCCGATCACGTGAGAAGCCGGATCAAGTGCCGAGCAGGAAAGTAGACGTTGCACGCCCCCCGGCGTAGGTTCCCCTGCTTTTGAGCGCACCGCGCGCCTCGAACACGCGGAGCCGCTTTTCGCCGAGTTCAGTGACGTGACGAGCGGGATCAACATGCCGTGCAGGAAAGACGGCGCTACGGAGATGAACGTGCAACTCTGGCTCCCGTAGGGAACTCTACCCATAGTCTTACCGGTCTTACCCCTAGTCAAGCACCAGCGCCACCGCGGCCGTCTTCCAACGCCAATATTCCACTTGGCAAGGGGCACCCATATTTGTTAGCATGGTACGCCTGGTACGCGTCTCCGACGGGTGCCGACGGGTGTGTTTACCGCGTCCAAGAACACGGTCCCTCAATTTCCGCCGGATGACGTCATAAACGTGTCATGCTATTGTCGGTTGAGATCCTGGCGGTGTCCCCACAGCTGGGCTGTATGTGGCAGACGCCTGTGCTGCTGCAGATCGCTCTCCAATGTGACAGTCCACGGAAGCTTCCTCAGCCAGAATCGGGGACGCTGTGACGACAGGCACACTCCCGTTTGCTTATTCTTTTTGCTAGCATTTCTACGACCAACCGCCAGGATCGCGACATGCAATAACATGACACTCCGGCTTCTGTGACGTCATTTGTTGCCACTTCGGGACCATTTTTGATGTGTGGACAGCACGCTAAACATAGAAAGACAACGCGCGAGGCTGGTGGTTGGTGCGCTTGTCGTGCCGGCCTCACGCTTCGTATCGTAAAGTATATGTACCGAATGCAAAAGTGCAGGGCACCAGGTATTGTTCTGTACTCAAATGTCGCAGCATTGTATTCAACGGATAGGTAAATATGTGCTCTCAAAAAATTTTATTCGGTTCCTGGGAGGTTATTCAAGAAAGATCGCCAGAAGCATGAATCCCCAGCTGTGTGGAGGACAGGCCTAATTATTGTTTCCCTATTTTGTCGCGTGATTAAGTAGTGCAGCTACGTACAGGTTCCCTCAAAGTAAAACGGAGCGCCGGAGCGGCGACAGAACTGCATCGCCGCGCTATCTAGCAGCGCCGGCTGCTATTGATAGGTTCCGTCTGCGCATGCGCGCGTGCCATTCGCGGTGTCCTTCGTCATTCTTGTTCGATCCTCGCATTATCGGCGTCTCGAACTGCCAAATGCTGTTCCGATAAACACCGCTAGGTGTTCGGCTCGCACGCGGAGATAATGTTGAGGGCAAGTGGGAAAGGGCCGGTGTTGTCGATGAGCACCGCCCCTTGTGCTATCAGGCGTCGATCTTAGGAAGATCGTTGCGTCGCTCGAACCATCAATATCGTGCGGGTTGGAAGAAGAAAACGAAGGCCCCGGCTGAAGGCGCGTTCGCATGCGCAAACGTAGCCTATCAGTTCCTGCCGGCGTTGACAGATAGCGCGGCGATGCAGTTCGGTCTAAAGCCCCTTGATAAAAGCGTTTTATACAAGTACCGCCAACCATTGTTGTGGAAGCGCGCGAGACACGTGCCATGAGCGGGTGCTCCGCCGCCATTCGCTTCCAAGGCCCGCTCATTTCAGTGCTGCGCCGCCATTTGCTTCCAAGGGCCGCTCGAGACATGGGCCTCGTGCACTCGCGCATTTGACGCTACTTGCAAGACAAACGCAAACACATCGAGGGGCTTTAGTTCGGTCGCCGCTCCGGCGCTCCGTTTTACTTTGAGGGGACCTGTATACACGATTGCAAGCTGGGCGACTGGCCGCCGCCATGTCTCTGCTCGAGCAGGCACGCCCGTTCGATTACGAGCTTGCGAAAGCTACGTTGACCCGTGCGTTGCACGCGCTTGCACGCATGGGGCACCACTTGTGGCGCCATGCTTGCAATTGTCTATACTTGTCGCGTTAATAGGAACTTTTCGTAGATCACACGCAAGAGCGCGGGGAAGAGTGTTGCGTTGCTTGAAGGAGCCGTCATCTCGCGCCCGCAGGACCAGCAAATACGCAGCTGACGTTCTACGATAAGTCCCTAATACAGTAGCTACGGTGGTTCCCCATGGGCCATGGCTGTTGACAAAAGAAACCCAAATATGCAGTTAGCCTTTTTTAAACAACTTTAAATTTGAGAACCAACCTCACTCTGCTTACCCGCCACTTTTTTTCCCCGATGCTTACAAGGAAAAGTGAGTAAGCGGCAAAAGACTCGAGGTAAAATGAGACAGATATTCGTAGCCCCTATTGCGTACTGACTTGAACGCATAATTGGAAAAGGATTGACGGCCGTACTCTAGTTTTTCTATTTATTATTAAAAGGATGTAGTTAGCCGGCAACAGGTATATTAAGTTTCCAAGGAACTCTAAAAATTAGAACATTTGTGGGTCGACAAATTATAGCGTGTTGGCAAAGTTAGATGTGCAGAATGAAAGCAACATAACTAAAAGGGACTTGGACAAGACTCCTCACAAGGGTAAATCAATAGGGCTTGGAGTCGATTCAAATTTTTAACCTGCAAACCTTTAATAGATAAATTAATCGTTCTCATTAACTTCCATGCCTAATATCTTTTTTTTTAAATGTCAAAATGACATTTTCTTTCTTCTTTTGCTGAATATGTGATAAATGGCGCAATATAAAATTTCGGTTATGAAACAATCTCGAGATGTGGTTGAGACGAGTTCAAAGACACTCACACTCACAAATGATTACTCCAGCTATCGTTTATATTCTCCGGCAAGAGCAGCCTTTTTTGATTATTAATGCAAAAGCCTTAAATGTCCCATGGAGCGAACCGATGCCACCAGCTTTTGAAGCCGCGCCAAACGGTACCTTCACTTGTCCCAATGGAGCGAAGCCTGCCGTCTGTAGCAGAAATCTGAAGGACAGCGCAGTGAAAGGGGGCGGGCGGGAGAAGGCTGTCGTGGCGGGACACTACAAGAGTGGAAGAAGGGGCGAGGGCCGCGGCGGTCCACTGCTTCGGGTGCAGCTGACCCCAGTGACACCACTGTGAGCTCTAATGCCTGATGTTTTAATTTCAGAAATTTACGATGACCACCAGATTATACCTTGGTATAGATTTAGACTGATGAGTAAAGTCAAGAAACAAATTTATGGAGGGGGCAGGCAATAACATTGATTTAAACGTATGCAGGAAGATTAGATTTCATTGCTGCATTGCAGCTAGATAACTCTTCTGCATGGTAACGATTACCTTGTTTCAAAAATAATCTAATTGGTCACATGACAGCAGGTCGCAGATAATAGATGATAGGAAACAAGATGTTGCAACACTGGCATATAGTTTTATTTCTCTGTACAAAATAGCAGTAATTTATTTATGTATATATAATGTATACCTTTATCAATACAGTAGACCACCTATAGGTTCTTGCAATAAAAGAAAAAAATTGTGGAACAATGTGCGCCACCATATACCATCAATGGAGAAAATGAATAATTTTTTTAACACGTTTGACAACGTTACATTGTAAAAAGAAGATTATAGTCCAGTCCCTGAACTCTCTTCTGCGTCCGTTCCGTTCCAACAAAATGCAGATTTCACTGCTGCGAATTGCCCACCAAAAGTATCGTGTGGACGGTGGAAACAATTTGGTGCTTCAGGGTCAGATATGTAGGGTCATTACAACCGTGTAGCTCACTGCCGTCTGCAACCAAAATCCCGACTTCGATTGTCCCACGTTCCCCTTTTTCATGTGGCCGGCAACGATAACGAATGCATGGCTTGTACTGACGTCACACCGGCTGCCATTTGGTGGCCTTGCTACCAAGCGCGTACCTTCTGCAGCATGCATGTTGTACCACCGAATTTTTTTTTTTTCACACGAACAAGTAGGAATGACCACCAGCACGGTGCGATGACATCACGTGCAAACCATGTATAGAAGTGGCAACACTCAGAGCCCTTTGCACACACTCGCTCAACAAGCTCGACTGCTCCAGTGTTTTGGGGGGCACATGCCTCGTTCCACGGCCAGCGGCTATGGTGCGACATTAGAGGCATGAGTTGGTGCAGAGAGATTAGACAAACACTGGAATTGCTGACACAGCAATGGGAGAACACCACTGGCAAAACGCCTCCTGGGCATTACCTTAATACAAACGTGACGGCCAACCACAACCGACGGTGTCAGCAGATTGAATTCGGTCAAAATTTGATTATCAACTTTTGGCGTTGCCAGGGATAGAGTTGTCACTCTTGAAGGGTTATGACCGGCAGCAATTAGAAGTGTTTGCCAGAGCCGCCAAACATGACGTTTTAGATGGCTTGCAATGACATCATATCAGCAGTCATTGTGGCGGTCTTGTTGCTCAGTGCTCACTTTCTGGAGAACATGTTTTACACTAATGAATTTTATTTTCTAGTTAAGAACAAGTAGAAATGACCACCAACATGTTGCGATGAGCTCAGATGCAAGCCCAGTATTTCCGAAGTGGCTGCTATCGTAACTTCACCTCCCATGGGGAAGGAGAGCGATGTGTCAGGCTGTACCAGTGGTGCAATTAATTGAACGCTGGTACAGCCCCCAAATTTTTTTCTTCATCCTTCCAACGCAATACTCAACGTGCGAGTCACGGGAGTGAATAATCGAACCATGACTCAAACTCGTTTCCGCCCACCAATACATTGAAAATGGGAAAGGGGGAAGACAGTGACGTCACAAAAGGGTGACAGCGGCCAACGACTCTTAGAAAACACCAGGCCTGTGCACACCACCGGGACGTCAAACGGGCACGGTGCCACCAGGAAATATAAAATGTGCTGATTACCCAATGAATGCATCTGGGAAACCACCAGCGTCTATGATGGTGTGGAAAAACTGCATGGCCCTCGCACGGGGCTGTTAAAACAGTAACCACAGCGCTGGTATATCCCATTGGCCCGACTACAGTCATAGCATGCCTCATCATTTGTCATTAGCCTCACACCTCTCATCACTTGGGTAGGTGTACCCATGGGATACATTTTAGTGGCACACTCATAGAGAGCATTGAGACTAACGTTAATTCAAACAGGCATAAAATTTATTTTCAATTAACAGACGAAAGTCTGCAAACCCTTGTAATTTGATTTGTATATTTGCTGAACCTTGGCCTCTTGGTTGGTCCTGCTCTGCAGGAGTGACAACTGCTCGATCACCACAAGAAGCACAGCGAACTTGTTCTGTCTGAACCTCAAGAGTTCGCTATTGGAGTCACATGACTCTAGGAGGGACACAGCACTGGTGAGGCACCATCGACCTAGTAACACTGCTATCTCTTATCGGCTATCAGCTACCATCAGCCTTTGACCAGGCACAATTCTACTAGCTTTGATTGCTTTTAGCCACAGAGCCTCATGTCGTACCAGTGGTCCGATCAATGCAATGATTGTATTTACTGATCTAAATCTGGATGTCATAGTCAATAAGCTATGGTCATTAGGTCGCTTTTGCTGGAGGCAGTTTCAGTCAAAAAACCAGATGCATGATTCATTTTTAATTTGATGCAATTAACTCAATAATGTGTTATCTGGCTTAGAAAGGACAGACCATTCTCTGAATCAAGAAACCACTACAAGTGGGAAAAGTCCATGGCAATAGCCACTTAGTCAGGGGCACGCTGATAAGAGAGATTAGACTCAGTTTTTAAAGCTACATCAGAAAGAAACATTCGAATTCGTCTTTGGTAGACGACCAATAGCTCACGCGCACCATCGAGCCCTTCCAACCAAAACGCTCAATGATTTAACTTCTAGCTGCCATCGTAAAAAAAAAAGAAAAAAAAAACGTGTATAGGAGATGTGCTGTCTGCTACTGCCATCATGAAGACTAGTGTCCTTATCACATTGTGGGTAAGGATTTGCTCAAAACTGCCTTTTCTAAAAAAAAAAGATATTAGAAAACGGTAGCGCGTAGCTATGTAAGTCGAGTTCACACACGAAGATGCACCTGTGCACACACACTCCCATGCAGAAGCCAAAGCATAGGCCCCATATTGTTCCACAGTTTCTTGTTGTCTGATCTGGTCAGTCGGCACCGGTATCTATTTGTAAAATAACTTAAAAAAGCACTGCGTCTTGGCGATGCAAACTTGTCGACCATATCAGACATAGAAAACACAATTGAAAAAAAAATATTGAACAAATTAAAATGTAAACGCATGGCAAATCCTGGAGAGACTGTCTTTGAGATGCAAAGCGTGTGCTGATGGCAGAAAGTGCAAAGGGCAACCTTGGCACTGACAGCACGCGTCACGTTCACAGATGTCTGTCTTGTGGTCTTCCTCTGGGAAAGCTCTGAGTGGACACAGGTGTCCGTCTTCCTCTGGTAAAGACTTGGAAATGCAAGACACCGCAGACCTCAGAGATGTCCCCTGTTCAGTGCATGGACATGGAGGCCTAGTGGCAGGAGCTGGAATGCAAATGGAAGTTCATAGACACGTAAGGTTCAACGGTCTTTATTGCTGCGAGTTGCCAGATTTTTTTGCACATAAAGCCTTCGGAGAATAGAGAAATGGCAGGTTATAAAGACATGGCATTTCGATTATTCTAAAATAAGTTCTAGGATCGTGCAGATATTCGAATTTTCAAATATCAAGTTTCGAATAATACGCTATTCGATATTCGCTTCGAGATAAACTGCGATATTAATAGTTTTCGAAGTGTTGATCGCAGCGGGTTTGCCCCGTTAAGTGTGCTTCTTATCGAGCACCGGTGCACTGCGGAGAAGCAACATTTGCAGAACTCGTTTTTATGAGTGATGCTTCTCTGCAGTGCACCGGTGCTCGGTGAGAGCACCGGCGTCCAACGGGGGTAACCCGCCGCAATCTCAGCAAAGTACCAATATTACAGTCGCATACTTAGGAGAAAAGGACACTTTTATATTGGAACGTTGCAAGCGTGCCTGGTCTATTTAGAAAGAAATGTAAACCTTGTGAACGTTAATACCTACATTGCAGTAAAATTGTCAAAATTATACTGTGGTTAAACTGTGGTGTGGGTGACCTGACAACCTGCGCTAATCATTCGTGGTTGTCAATCTTTTTTTCATATTTGAGATTGATGAAAGGGTATTTGCACAGAGCAAGAAGATTTATAAACCCATTCGACTAAGTATAACTGGATATCTATACAGGTTTAATGTTATGTCAAATGCGTTGCTTACTTGCCATCTCAATGTCGTCATTAGATTTGTCCATAAATATAGATAAATTTAAATTACCCTAGCTTACAAATGGACAACTGAAAGCTTTGGAACGACCCGGCTGGGTTTTCGTTTGAGCATAATGCAGTAGTGAAAGGCTTAATGAAACCATTAAATACTCTAACCGAAAATATTCTGCAAAAAACGATATTTCCTCCAAATTTGCCTCGAACTCAAAATCCACTCTTCGCACACGCCTAACGTGACCCCTATGTCGCGACTACCGATGCCGTTTCTAATCGTCCATCTTCTCGACGGGTCCGTGGGATTTTATGGAAGAGCAGACGGCAACGAGCCCACCTATGCCTGGTCGTTTCTCCGAGTGATCCGAATAGTTGACCCGTGAAGTCAGCAGCACGTATGGTGCTTTAATTTATCCCCGGGGAAATCTTTCCCATAGCGTGACGAAGAGATTACAGACCAGGTAATCACCGTGGCGTTCCCGTAAACTGCCAGGAGCCAGCCACTTAACACATTCTATGTTAAAGGGGTCCCTGCAGCAATATTGGGTCGGTATGTTTCTCGCTGCACACAAGCTCACTGGCACTATAGTGGAACACAAGTGTACTTGCACCAGGGTGCAAGATAGACAGGTGGGGAAACGGCCCATAGAAGCCTACCGCAGCGCCGTGACCGGATTGTGTACTCGTCTGCTTGCGGGTACCCCCGACTTGCGACAGATGGCGCTGCGGCGAGAGGAAAAAAATCGGAATCGGATTTGCGGGGAACTCTATGGGAGACTGCGCAAAATAAACCAAGAGCACGACAGTCTTTCATTAAAAATCCACGAAAAACCATCTCCGTCAGTTTAGCCGGTCGCCATCGGTCGCCCACCCGGAGTGAGAGTTCGCGGTGCTCCACATAGATGGCGCCACAGAAAAAGAGAAAACCGAGGGGGACACAATACGGTCACTCATTTGGCTCTCGTTTCCCACCTGTCTATCTTACACCCTGACTTGCACGCAGCCGTCGCCACTGACCAAGAAACCTCTCTGTCTCCGCATAATTTCATAAATAAAAGTAGACCTTTTTTTTTCCTTCAATCCTTCCTTCACAAAACTCGATGGCGTAGTAATGGGGATTGCATTGTTGTCGCAGTCACGAGGATTGCCCATGTGACGACAATATTCAAATGCAGCTTATAGACGATTGCAAGCTGGGCGACTGGCCGCCGCCATGTCTCTGCTCGAGCAGGAACGCCCGTGCGATTACGAGCTTGTTAAAGCTACGTTCACCCGTGCTTTGCACGCGCTTGCACGCATGGGGCACCACTTGTGGCGCCATGCTTGCAATTGTCTATAGCATAGACGCGGGCACTGAGGAAACGCTCGGGTTTGGGCTCGTGACAGTTAATGGCTCGACGAGCATCGGAGTTGTGGCTCGTGCCCAATTCGCAATGACTAGAATAGCCAAACCCTAACAATATCCGGAACTCGTGCTCGGAGCTTTGCCAACCCCAGTGCGTGGCTCTGAAGATTGGTGGCCAGGCCCAGACCGCGTGGCCTCTCACGCTGTCAGCGAGCTAAGGGGGTTAATGCTGTTTTTTTTTTTCTAATTCTTCTTTTGCGCCTACCATTGCACGGAGACGATATCTAACGAGTTTTTTGCAGGTCATGGACGTCAAAGCTTAATTATAAACGGTATTTCGTGAAAGTCAAGAAATTGCTGCTCCGCCTCTTTAAAAAGGGGCACCTAGGTCTGCAAGTCCCTATTGTAGCGGTGCTGTGTGCTGGCATCGCTACGGTAATTTATGAGTATTGAATTAATTACTGATCTTTATTTATGTTAATTAATCATCTAGTTAAGTACCTAATTAAGGGAGCTTTCTATCGATTAATTCTTCGTTAAAAAGACGCGCCGTGGATCGTCCACTTGTACTGTAGCTACCATAGCCGCGCCTTGCTCGTTGTCGCTGCAGTAATGGCAATTAGTATATTCTTACTAATTAATTAGCTGACAATTTAATACATTAATCCTTCGTTAAAAGTACGCGGCAAGGATGGTCTGCACGTACCGTAGCAGCGCCGAGCTCAGGCGTCGTCCAGTATGATGACCTCGTCGGCCGTGCGCTGTCCGACGCACTCCCGCACTACCTCGAGCACGATGTGTAGCCTGCGGTCGAGGGCCTCCAGGTGTCCCTCGACGAGCACGGGGTTGAGGGGGTCCCTGGCCAGGGATCGCCGCATCTGGCTGCTGAGGGGCTCGGCCCCGTTGTGCAGGCCCAGCAGGCGCCGCAGCGTCGAGCGCCGCAGCAGGCAGCACTGGTACAGCGGCGCCAGGATGCTCAGCTCGTCGTAGCGCGTCTTGCCGAACCTGCAAGCCAAGGAAACCGTGTGAAGAGACCAGGTGCCGATATAGAGTACACCAATATTTAGCCAGGTAATGCACTCCTCGGAGGATCCTCGGAGGATCCTCGGAGGATCCAGGGGACACCAGACGACCATTGGGGCTGACTGACTTCCCCGTGTCTAAGTAGGCACACAACGCGATTTACGTTCATAGGGCTTAGTATTTTTCAAATTTTGTGAGCTGTAGGTTTGGGAAATAAGTTAATAACTTGAGTGCGCAGACTTTCGGGATTGGGAGAGCTGAATATTTGTTGCCACAGAATGGCAATCCATTTTTCACAACATGTTTTTTCTAAGTCGTGAAATTTGCAATATTTCGTTTTTAGTGAAAAGATGAGTAGTATGTGATACTGCGGATAAATGTAACATATAAGAAAAAAAAACTCTTTTTACGCAGCACATTTATCTAAGTGTGTAAAAGTGGATGTATTGTCCTGTTTTTTTTACCTATTCCTGAGAGTTATTTCTGCTCTTTCGTACCCCACACTTGCAGAGGTCTAATCGAAAGAACTGCAATATATAAAAAAAAAATGCAACTTACCCACGGCCATGGTCCAAGTGCAGAGGCGATGAGTTGTTCCCAAAGGTCAGGAACGTCTCATAGTGGTGCCTGTCCATGTTACCTGGATCGTTAGGAAGAAAGTAAATCGGTCTTTTTGCCTTCATGTCAAAGCCCATTTTCCGTCACATACTCCATGATGATAAACATGCAGCTGAAAGCGCTTAGTACGGCTTACTCTAGCTCAGTATAGAGTTTTCACGTTTTCCACATATATTCAATTAAAGATGCACTACAAGCCCCCATGACTTTCTCGATTCAGGCCATTTGTAGTTTTAAAAATTCTAAAATGATTTGGGATGCCATGCATGTCTTGCCTCCTTTTTTCAATAAAAAATTGGCATAAAATTTACGGCCCTTTTCTCCGCTGCTTTGACAGGAGCTCAGAGGCAGAACAGCAAAATAATTAACTGGAATGAATTAGGAATAAAGCATCGAACGAACGCCCACCCCAAAAGATTACACATCTCATATTGTTCACTAGATCCAGGTTTTTTTTCTTCTTTCTTAACTGTGATCGCCCGATACGGTCGGGACTCGAGTTCAAGCAACCCTAATTTAATCCAGTCCGATTCTTTGCACAAGTTAGAAACTGCAGACGTACCGATGAAGAAGTCCAGGATGGCCATGTCCATGAGGTCTGGCAACCTGCGCCCCTTGTTGTAAGGAGGGGTTCTCCGAATGTCGCTGCAGTAGTCGTCGTTGAGCTCCCACTTGGCTTTCCGCCGCTTGTGGTACGACCTGAAACAGAGCGTTATGCTTGTTAGAGCGAAGATCTGGCTGGCGCCTAACAAGCTATTGTATTTTGTAACTATATTGAGTACACTATTTTGCCCCTCCCACACACACACACTAAGGAAAAAAGGGGGTGCAGCCCTTACACCCCTTAGCACATATACGACACCCCTAAGCTTCAGTTGAGCATACACCGCACTGACGTTCAACCGACGCTACCAATTTTCTCGAGCGGCTTGATAGCCGAGTTGTGCAACTTATAGCTCACGTAAAAGTAACTGGCTCTAAAAAAAAAAGTTATCGGGATTTTCTTGGCTCTACTGCGAAACCTCAGTGTTTTATTAGTGTACTCTTTAATGCGTACTTTAGCTGTTTAATATATTATATCTCACTGTCATCAAGCCTCTCGTAAAAGTTGGGACGTCAGCTTGATGGCAGTGGGATGTACCGTGAAATGGAGTTTGGGATGTTGTATATGTGACAAGGGGTGTAAGAGCTACACCCTTTTTTTAAATAAAGTGAAAATTTGTTTTTTATTGCAAAAATATTTTACGCATTGTTGAACGCTCATTTTCCACTTAAATGTAGCGCACGAACCAGATTCAAAAGTTATAAGTGATTTAAAAAAAAAATCAAATGGGGCCCGTTTTCACCCGTTTTCGGTGGCTGGCGCTATTCAGCTTTATGCATTCGAGACGTACGTCGGCCGCCATTTTCCCATTGAAAATTTCAAATCACTTGTACCTTTTGAATGAGATAATGGTTAGTTTTGAAACTTTGGCATCTGGCTCGAAACGATAGCGCTACATTTGAGAGGAGAATGAGCGTTCAGTGATGCATACTCTATTATTGCGGCAAGAAAAAAAGAAGGAAACCCTGTAAATTACGTTTTGGTACACCCTGCACTTGCTTAAATTTTAAAATTTCCCATTGTGTGTACTATGTAGAGGTGCAGACTATAGAAGGATATTGTTTTCAAGATTGTTCATTATGAGAAAATGTCATGAATTTTGAAAATGACAGGTTATTTCGGTGATGAATTGTGTACGATACAAGCTTCTTTGTGACCTGATAAAACACATCTTATTTAAGGCGTGCTGAGTATAGGAATTTTAGCTGCAAAATATGCACTATATAAGTTTTTTTTTTTTTTTTTAGCCGAGGTCGTGAAGACAATACACTGGCTGACCGAAATGGTACATGCTTTAAAATGTTCGATTGTTTCCGCTAATTCGTTCGCCCCCCAATTCGAATCTTTCAGAATCGTGGTACCTCCGCCAGGGATGCCTCCAGGACTTCCTGGGCGCCACCTCCTTGGAAGGGAGGAAGACGGCGAAGCTGCCTTCCAGGGTGTCGGGGTGACCGCAGATGGCGTGCGAGGTGTCGCAGTAGTAGCTGCACTTGCCGTGGAAGCACAGGTTGTTGGCTGCGCATCCAGACACCGTCAGGGGTATAAAACAACCACGTAGACTTGTGCCCGTTATTTGCAAAATGTAATGGATTATAGCTACAGATTACCGACGTCGACGGCGAATTTTCTCCGACACAAGCTCCTAAACGCTATTGCACATTAAAAAAAAAAAAAAATTCGGGAACAATGTGTTAGCCGCGACGGACGTCAGGAATTGTACAAAAGCATACTAATTGACTTAATAATTACCTAAAACTTACTAATTAACTTTATAATTTGCAAGAACAAGCATATGGCTCCGATGAGAAACTTGCTGAGCATCATCGAAAGCCACTAAATCAACTCTATTTAGAAAGATAATAGATAGGGGCAGCATTTGTTTTTTAAAACACGGAACACACTTATATGCGAAGCTTCACTCCATCTTACGGGGGAGGCGAGGAGGTGGCTTTGCGCAGCTTCGCGCCTCAGCCACCGGGGAGCAGACTCGCTCTTGCAAACATGCGCTGCGATAAGACCAAATTGAGCGCTTTTTTTTTTTCAACGCCGTAAAATGCTACTTTTTGCCTTATATCATTCTCAAATGAGTTGATTTAGTTGTTTTTAAAGATGCTGAACAAGTTTCTCATTTGAACCATATGTTTATTTTCACAAATTAAAAAAAAGTTAATGAATTTTTGTTCAGTATTTATGCAATTAGTATGTTGTTTTTTTTAATCCTCGACGTCCGCTGTGGCGGGCAGTTTGATCTCGGAAAGAGTTTTAATTTTTGCTCAACAATCCTATTTCTTAGCGATTTTTTAAAGCTTTTGCCGAAACACCCGGTATATTTCAGTCGTGACGCCAAACTTCGATTAAAATGTCGTCGGAAATGGCACCCTCAAAGACGACTTCAAACCGAAACCGAAACGGCCGAAGAGCGCCCCTGGTGTCGATTCCTCCGCTCTGCGCCGGCTCCGCAGCGCACGCGTCCGTGCCGCAGGTGACGTCAGCAGTGCGACGCAAGCGCGGAGCGAAGGTTTTCTCCAGTCTTGGACACGTTACTAAAAGATGTAATCGACTACAATTACGTTTACTCTCGGTTAAAATAATTCGATAAGATTACTCAATCACTTGACGGAAAAGTCATTGACTGTTACTCGGGAAGTATACGTTACACTAGAACGACATTTCTTTTTGCCGATATAGGAAAGAGCCCCTTTCGTATTGTCTATATATTAACTAGCACCACCGGATTACAAACTACTCGTCGTCTTAAGACAGATATTCTTTTGGTAGACCATCGTCCCGCAGGAGACTTGGTTCCAGCACCTGCTTTTGTGGGCCAGATCACTGTTTTTGTATATATTTCCTGTGAATAAATATTACTATTGCTATTACTATTACTATTCCTTGCAGGAACAAAAGGTGCCATTAGGAAGGAGAGGGAAAAAAAGTAACAGTTGCAAGTGATGTTTGGTACTTACAAAAGCAATCGGATCATTGCGATGACATCATTATAAAAGTAATCAACTGATTACAAAATGACTCTAAAAGTAATCGATAAAAATTAAGTTGGTTTAAGTCGCCCCAAAACGCGAACACAAATTTCTCATAAAAATTTCACGTACATTAAAGCCCCTCAAAAAATGCAAATCTTACGAAATTTAACACTTTTTTTTTTAGTTACTTAGCTAGCTATAATTAACCAATCTCACTTCATTTCTAGTGTCCCCGCGGTTTTGAACACGTTCACTCGAAAAGAATAATCGATTACAATTATAATTTCTCTTGGCTAAGAGGTATTCAACTTGATTAATGGAGTGAAAAAAGTAATTGGACATTACTTGAAAAGGTAACAATTACATTTTCGATTACTTCACATTTCCAAAACTGCAATTCTTTTGCCCGTTTGAAAACAGGCCTGTATACTGCCAAATAAAATCTTTCGTTTTCGGGATATATTTTTTTTTCATTTTTTTTTCACGTATATGACATCATTCCTGAAACAGGGAAAGTCTTTTTTTTTTTTTTAATTTTGCCGTTACTCTTTTCAAAAATGATTTTTTATGTTTTCTTTAAATTGTTTCAGACGATAGTCCGTTGCAAATCAAGAAAGTAGAGCAAGGGAAAGGCAGGTCGGGGTGGAGGAAGCAGACGGGAACGCTGGGAGGAGAAGGGAAAACCTCCTCCTCTCTCCAGCGTTTCCCCTGCTTCCTCCTCCCCGGCCTTCCTTTCCCTCACCCTACCTTCTTGATTTGCAATGGACTATAGAAAAGCACACAGAAGAAAATCAAGGTTAAACCAGATGGCCCCAATCGTTCAAGACTTTGGGACGAGGACACAGGGAGGAAAATGGGGACAGAAGCAACTGAACAAGATAAAACCTAGACGAAGTTTTATCTTGTTCGCTTTTATTTCTGAACTTGCGCGGTGCGACGAAGAAGTTCCTCGGTCAGTGGCGTTGCGTGCGAGTAAACTTGGATTCCACTAGTGCCATTAGGGAGTGTTCACTAGCGGCCATAGCTTTGTGCGCGAATGCCGAGCACGTGATGATGGCGACCTTCCACAGTTCTTTTGCAACGTGCATTCCGCACCACGCAAGATTGCCGGACCCAACAGCCTATTAATGTGGGCTTGTTCTGAGCATGCGCTCTAAACAGCGCCCTCAAATATGGCGCCCAGTGATTACCCCCTACAAGGTTGTATAAATGAGAACTACTCCTACCTAATATGGTTGTATACAGTTGATTACCGTCCACGCAATGGCGTATACAGAAGATCGGGGAAGTATTGTCGCGAACCGGTCACGTGTACGTGTGCGCAACTCACCAGGGGAGACGAAGAACGTCTTGAGGATGTCGTCGTCGGTGATGGCGTAGATCTCCGACGTCATGTTGAGCAGCCTCCCCACCACCGGAGGGGCCCGTCGGAAACCCAGTAACCTGCAACGACAAAAAGGACGTTTACAAGTTGAGGTTTTAGTGTATTGCTAAACAGAAAGCGATACGCTGAAACAAAAATACTGATTGGTTATTTACTTCTAGGAAACATTGCTGAAAGTATTGCTGAAGTACTTTTTTAGTTTCCGCATTGTTCATACGCCGCGCATGTAGTTCTTATATGATTTGGTTGTGGGAAGAAGAAGGGGTACTTTTTCCGTTTGAAACGTGTACGTCTTGATAAGGTAACATATATCTAATCTAAAATGCACAAACATATACCCTAATTATCTGTAATGCTCCGCGAGAAACCGGACTTTTTTTTTTCTTCTTTACTATAGTTTTTGGTGTGTAAACGAGTAAAGTGGTAGTAATAGTTATGGGCAATCAAGCGAAAAGGTTGTTTTTACAAAATATGTTTATTTTATTTGTGCATTAATTGTTGGTTGTCGCTCCAATTGTGTGCGCAATACTGCCAAAACCACGTGAAAGTTAGAGCGCAGTTTTGCCGAATGTTTCGTTTGCACGTTCACCAGCACAGGAAAAAAACACTTACTGAGCTTTACAAAATTTTGTGAGATACACGGTTGTGGTCGCCCTGCCCATTCAGATAACATTCGTGTGACATTATGACGTTTTGAGGTCATTAAGAAAAACAGAAAAAAAAAAGTATTTTGTAAGGGAAACACAAATCTCCAAACACAACTGTGTTTGGAGATTTGGGTTTGTCCTTTGTCCCTCTTGTTCCCCTTCTCCAGGGATTATTTGCATCATTCTTGTCCAGCTCGCTTGCACCTTTGTCTTTCATTGCATCATAACTCGTAAGGGCATTTTTTTTTTCCGAGTGTGAATAATGTCGGGATCCCGAACTAGCCAATTTTGTAGGCGCCCTTATCAGACCTCCTAAACTTGCGCACACTCGTGACTTTACGCACCCGGCTGTCAAGAAGCATGCTACCTCGCTACGCGCGCTCTAGGTTAAAGTGGCACGCTCATTCTTTCTCCGCGATACTTTTTATCCAAAAGGGAACACGAAAAGCTGCACTCTAAAAAAAAAGGGTGTAGACCCCTGGTCACATACACGACACCCCAAGACTTCAGTTCGTCGTACAACGCACTGACATCAAACTGACGGCCCCAACTTTTACGAGAGGGTTAATGACTGTGCGATATAAAATATTAAACAGTGTACGCATCAAAGAGTACAGAGAAAAACACAGACACTCAGGTTTTGCAGTAGAACCAACAAAACCCCGAATACTCTTTTTTTTTTTTTTTGACAGTCAGTTGCATCTTATTGAAGTTATTTTAATAAGTTCTACAACTCAGCTATCAATTGCCGCTGGTAGCGTCGGTTGAACGTCAGTGTGGTGTACGTCCACCTGAAGTTTAGGGGTGTCGTATATGTGACAAGGGGTGTAGGAGCTACACCTCCTCTTTTTTAGTATGCGTGTTCTTATAGGGATCCTAGGTTCAATCCCCACCCCTGTCCGTTTCGATCTGGATGAGCATCGTACCGACGCGCGGTTGTGTATTACTACTGCGTGGTCCTTAAAGTCCCCAAACTAGCGGCCGTATACTGCACTGGCTAAATTTCTCATATACACAAACTCATCTCTGTTACGTCACGGCGCGGTGGTGGCGCGTCGGACGCACTTCCGGTCCGGGGCTGTGGGCGGAAGTGCGCATGTGAGACGTGTATTCCTGCGTTGTTTTGAAAAGAACCAGACAAAAACCTGCCTTCTCGTTAAAATGCTGCGACTGGGGCTGTACCATAAGAGTCGAGAAAGGTTTGAAGGTCAGTTTTCATGCGCTCGGTTCGTCCGAGAACGTGGATATCTGCCGTGAAAATGGAAAACCAGACGCCGTCGGACCACGATTACTTGGGCGGGAAGCATTTTGGGTTGAATTCACGGATACTTCTGGCCATCAGGTTTATTTGTTTTGTTCCAAAATGAACGCCGGAAAACCGTCAAGTTATACGGGCCACCTGGGAGCTACGTTCAGTGCGTCTTCAAGTTCAAACGGTCGCCTGATCGTTCGAACTGTCGTCTGTTCTTTCAAACGTTTCTGCTTGTCGTCTGCTCTTTTAGAGGACACCGGCCCGTAGACCGAACGTGGGCCCGTTACTTGCGATAAGAAGTGCAGGCCTCAAAAGATTTAAGTTTGAAGGTTGGTAAGCAGGCTCGACGTAAACAGTAGACACAAGGAAATGTTGATCATTGTTACCAATGGCCATCACCGACTTGTTATGCCTGATTCACTTGGTTAGATTCTGCTTGCGATTTTCAGTATCGACGTCGACCATCTCAACTATGGTTCACGCTTTTGCACGTCGTTACTGAAAATTGCGAGCGAAATCTCATCATGTGAATCAGGCTTTAGCGTACATTCTGCGGCGTCCACGCGGAATGAATCGCCGCATGTCAGATTATTCACGCGAAGTTTTGCGGTGTAACGAGCCTCGTTAATTTCGCTGACGCCGGTCAAGTAGTCAGACATCGTTAGGATGACGTAGAATCAACAATTCCAACGCGAAAAAGAGCGCGGGGACTCACACCGAGGCCGACAACATCGCATTTCAATGGTTTGTTTATGGGCGACGGCAAGCTTCTTGCCCACACCCCCATGGCGCATGCGCGGCGCCAGTGGCGTCCGCTAGGGGCGCTCCGGGCGCTCCGGTTTGTTTGTAAACATGAGTTGGTGTATACATCGGGTAACAATGACTCCAAGTTCTGCCAGACTAAACTCCCGCTGTATAACCAACACCCGACAAATTTCGGTGTTCTCATCTCTCATCATCGATGCCTTCCGACATGTTTGCCGTTATTTTCAAGGACACTTACCATCAAAGTCTTCGTTGCTGTTCGACGGACAAAGAATAGAAATTTGTTAGATAAAAAAGCGCCTGCCATCGACGTGTTACCTCCCTATATCTCCTTCTTTTAGCTTGGCCAGGCCAACACCAGTAACAAAGCCGCCGTGATTTATTTTCGGCGTCAGCAAAAGAAGCCCAGCGCCTGGCACAGACTGGGCACGAGTGCTGCGTCAGCATTCAGCTGAAACTCGCGTCCAATCAACGAGGACACGAGTTTCTGGCCGAAGGGTGACGCAGGAGTCGTGCCCAACACATCTAGCGTTGGCTTTCTTTTGGCGACGTCGAAACTTCCAGATCTGGGGCTCTAAACTCGTCAAACACAAAGTTGGGGCCGAAGTTGACGGAGCGCACCGATTGGACAACCACGACGATGACTTCGCGTTTTTGTCGCCGACGTCCAATCAGCGCGCTCCGCGAACTTTCGGCTCCAACTTTGTGTTTGACGAGTTTAGGGCTCCAGGCTTTGTAATCTAGTTTCTAGCTCTTTCTTCTTCAGACTGGACGCAGCCGGTGCTGCGAGCTGACGGGAGTAATCAAACAGCGCCAAAAGCGCAAGTCACTGGGCCTACTAGCGCTATAGCGGTTCGAAGCAGACGCCAAAGTTCAGAACGAACCGTTATCTTATTCAGAATACTTTTTGATACTTTTTGAGGCGCGTTTCTTTCTTGAATGACGGTGTCGTATTGGTCACACAAGAAATTGAGATGCGATTGGGCGACCCACCTGTCCAGGTGGAAAGAGGCGATCTCGCTGTTGTGCCTCTCGAAGTCCACGAAGTAGAAGTGGTTGGGATCTGTCTCCCGATCCCTCGGGAACCTGCGCCATTAAAAAAATAAATAATAATATACAGGTTAATCGCTAGTTTATTTAGATGGGCTCCCACAAAGACTGGTTACATTATGAGTGCGACGGGGTTTGCAAACGCGGGGTAACAGTGAGTCGCACGAATCGGCAGCTTTTCAGGTTCACGGAAGACGTTCTTCTTCGAGGTCTGCTTGTCGTGCTGAGACATCCATGTTCACCGAGAGGACACACGGGGCTTGGAAGCTACGGAGAGAGGTGGCGGAACTCACGGGCGGTGATACTTTTTTCTTCCCAAACAACGAATTTGCATCTTTTTAGAAGCCACAAAAAATGGGTATCGCATTTCTTCTCTATTTTAAATATTTTGTGTGCACGCCTTCGATGACTTACGACTCAGATCAAATTTGGTAGTCGTGTCTAAACTTTAGAAAACGGCCCGTGACTACGGAGAAGTTAGTGGGCGCGTCTGACATCGGCCAGTTCTCGATCGACGGTTTTCGGGCAGAAAGAGACCGAATTTCGAGCCGCAAATTATGTTCTGGGTAGTGGGGCTCTCATATGTCATGTTCAACTAAAAACCTCGGCGAGCATAAATACCCTGTCAGTGTCCCTTTAACAAAGTCAAACGCAACTCTGTGAACCAGCCTCTACATTTTGTCCAGCAAATAGATCGATATAGTTATACCTATGTTTTCAACCAATGAGGAGGTGCTGAATTGTCCTCAAAGACTACAGCAATCCCCCCTTAGGTAGACGCTATCTTTACTCTTGACGTAAGCGGTATAAGGTGTAAGTTGCTTATTAAACTTTTCTATAGACATCTTAGTTCCGAATCTTCCCCCAAAATTTTCTCTAGTTTTCTGACTGCCATCCAGTAGAAACCCGTTTTCCCCAGCCAAACTGACAATATGATAAGTAGTTGAAAAATTACTCCAGCGCTATTGACATCATCGCAACGCCTTAGCAACAACACCCACCCGTCTGTTGCCAATGTGACAAAATACTGTCAAACAAATTTATCTTACTTTATATATAAAATCGCCTTCCGTCATGAAAGGAAAACAAATAAAAATATTTTACAGTCACCATCTAAGCCAGGGGTCTTATCCTCAAACCGATCAATACTTTTTCTTTGGCGGAAGGCCACGATCGAGTGGTGAAGGCGGAACATCTGCACTCTCTACCAGTCACAACTATAAACCTTTCCAATAGCTGCCTCCTGCGCGCTGCCATCTTTATCTTATGGGCTGTGAAAGGCGTCCTGCGCGTGCGCCGTAGCTCTTTCTCACGAAATGTGACACGCCGAGCACGAGTCCACAGCCCTGTGACTCGGCATTTTTCGCCCGGGTGTTAAGGGTTTCGTGTTTTCGCTATTTATATTTTCTTCAAATTCGGGGGTTATTTATTGGTGTGTATTTTCCCCCTTTGAACCGATGTTTTTCGGTGCCTAATTTAAAAGTCGGAAAGAAATCGGTTTTTAAAGGGGCCTGTGTTGTAAACCGACTGTATAATTACTGGAGGAAATATTAAAATGTATAAATTCTAGTATTTTCTCAGGTTATGCTGCTAAAGCTAAGAGAAAGGGGCAATGAATGTGGTTTCGATAGAAAGGAACAACACCAAGGAGTGCCTCTGTGTTCCGGGTCAACGAAAAAAAAGAAAAAAGAAAAGAGGGTAGAAGATTTATTGTTTGTAAAGCTGCAGCGTCTTTTTTTTTTTTTTAATTTTAAGGACAGTTTGAATTTGGAGATTTTCAGTTTCCACCGATTCACAGAAAGCAACCTCAGGGGTTGATTTTCGGTGTTTATCGGTATATACCAAAAACACGGAACCCTAGTGATGAGCGCTGTAAAGTTTTATACGCGACGATAGATAATCCGTGCTCCAACGCCGTGTGTTTTTGGCAATTTCCTTAGGCAAGTATTAACACAGATTGTGTTTTATCAGCCGATTTTCATGGAAATCTGTAATGTTCCACCGTAAAGTTTGCTTGTAACAAAAAAGTGACAGGCAAGTGAAAAGGGCAAAACGAGAACGGTCCCGAAGGAGGAAGGTTGAAATGCGAAGGACGAAATGGGAAAAAGCCAAATGCGACGGGTCAAAGTCAGATCTTTTTTAAGACAGGTTGTTTTGAAAAAGGCCAAGTAAGAAGGGCGAAACGAGAACGGGCTCAAATGATGACCACGTTCTGTGCGCGCCATAAACAAAGAACTGCGTACGATACTTCGTCCGTATTGTGTGTTTTCCGCAGTCGTTCTTTCTTAAATATGAAATATGGTAATCATGATACCTTCTCTGTAGATTATAGATTATAATGAACCCAACGGAGGCGACCGCATAAGAATGACCGCGTAGGGAAGACGCTCCAAGAAAACAACCTGAGAAAAACGTTAACAAATAGACTAAACTAAAACGCATAACTCTTCTTCAAGAAAAGAGGACACGAAACGAGAAAAGTGACTCGTGCGGAAGCATTAAGATTCCCTACGAAAGCCGCGCTTAATGGCTTCTTGAGAATTTGAAGTTGGCAAACAATGACGGCAGCGAGGAACAAGTCAGACCATATACGCATATAAATATACGCGGCCGGCTTAGAAAGCCACCGACTCCGAGTGGGATTTTCTAGGGTTTGCCAAGAGTGTCCAAGTTCCCTGACCGTCTTGCAACTGCCTGGAACGCGTCAACAACTTGCCCAATGACGTCAAAATCGTGACGTCACCAGTAGCTCTTCAGCTGCAGTCTGTTGCAACATTAAAACACCAGAAAAAGCACCGTTCCCCCGAGTTCGCAGAAGAAACAAAAAATGGAGTCATTACAAAACACTTTCTGGACGGCAAGGCCTTAGTGCTGGATGTTCTACGTCGCGCACACACGGAACGCTATACTCAGTCAGTGACAGGAGGAGAACGGCAGAGCGTCTCTTGCAAACCCCCGGTCTTCAGCACGCGCTCGCTACCTTCCATCGCGCTTGAAGCACGATGGAAGGCAACGAATTTAAAGCTAGCTCGCACAAACATTGGCTCGCACTAACTCACTGGGTCGAAGAAGCGCCATTGCCTTCCCTGTCTTCTAGTCGGACACAAACAGGTACTAACACACAGGTGACCAAAACTTCGGAAGGCCTTGCGAGGTTTTGATCGCAGTGGAGACCATTGCCATGGTTGCCATGGCGATTGCCGTGGCAACCATGGAAATCGACATCTCGGTCCTTTTAAATCTTCGAAGCTTCGAAAGGGTCGTTCTAAACCAGTCGCACCAAGATCGTCTTGGAGCATCACCGTACGAAGGCGTTCCTCGCCAACATAAGCATTTTCGGCAATGTGTATCCAAGCAACTTATCAATCACACTCATCGCCACGGAACTCTTACAATGATATTGCTCTTCTTGCGTGTTTCAAGGCAAATAAAATTATTTTTTGGTGATTCCAAGCACCGATACCGCATGTGGTGCCGGTACGGAGATGTGCGCTTGTTTCGCCGGTGGGTGAAGAGCAAAATTTCGGTATGCGAGACGCGTCTCTATAAAGCTACCCGGGTCACCAGGGAATTTAGATCGGCTCACCAAGAACGGTAAGTATGGTCCCCGTATGGTCGCCATTTTGGCTCATTTCATGAGCCAAAATGGCGACCATACGGGGAGCTTGCCGGGACTTTCCCAGGATCCAATTACTTCGGATCGCACTGGAAGTGGGACAACTGGAACTCCTTCCTGCCGTTTGACTAAAGTACGTCTTGCTGTTGTTGTGAGCACCTTCAAAGAAGCGGAAAAGGAAAACGGAACTGAAATATAATGGCGAATTACACATCTTGAAATCGCTTTCAACCGTTCTGGATCTCCAAAAACTCCTAAAGGCCCTCCAAGGCTTTTCGATCACTGCAGACCGCTCGAACAAAAAGATAATAATAATAAAAAAACACTTTGTTTCCTCCTTTCTTCCTTTGTTCAACGACTCCAACGAGGAGATAGAAGCGTGGCCGAAAAAATGTAAAAGGGAAGAAAAAGAAAAACACGCTGCCGAAGCAGTGTAGGATGAAAATCCCCAGCGATACATCAGGAGGTTTCCTACGAGTTTCCTACGAGTCTAAAAAGATGTGCCATTAGGCTTGGGGCCTCCAAGCCTCAGTAGTTTGCGCGACAAGCTTTGTCCTCCTCGTATCAAAACAAGGTACGACATCCTTTGTCAAGAAAGTTACAAAATAAAAAAAAAAATAAAAAGAGATCAACGTAGCAAGCGTGTGGCGGAAGGCCACACTATCTGGCCTGCGATGAAGAATGGAGAAAGGCATCGCTGTATCGTTCCTGGGAGAGGGCGTAAAAAGAGAAAGGAGGAGGGTGATGAGAAGGAGAGAGCAAACAAGACAGGAAGACAAACGGCCGAACAAGAGAACACGAGAGACAACATGCGTCATGAAAGAACCAGAAAGACAGCGAAAGAGACCCTACACTGGAAACAGCTACAAGGACGGCGAAGTAAGAAGGACCAAAAACAGAAATGCAGCACCGTAGAAAGGCGGCAAGACTGATAGCTAAGCGAGGTGCAAAAAATAATCACATAAAGAAATGAGGAAAAACGACAGCCAAAAGACGCAAAAGTGATATAAAACGGGCGGTCTTTTGGGACAGCCATGACCAGACAAAACAACGCACGATGGCAAATAAAGAAAACTGTGGTTCAAGGCGTACCTTTTGATGGACAGCTGCGGTCCATCATAAGGTGGAGGGGAGCGGTCCATCTTAAGATGAACCGCTGCGCTGAAATAGTGCCTACGGTCCGCTACACTCTATGGTAAGGTAAAACGAAGTCTATAGAACAAGAAACGCGCAAAAACCAAAACAATAGGAAAAAAAAAATCTCACAATAACGAAACGAAGATTTCGCGGAGGAGGTCTTTGTCATCGCTCACGAGGCCTCCATGGGCGAGGACGTGTCTCGAGGGCACCTTTCAGGTAGCTCTATGTCTTCCACCGTCCATTGAATACCGACACCACGCGCCCTGCCTCCACATAGAGA